GGGAGGTAGGTCATAGAGATCAAAGGAAGCGGGTCCGGTTTGATCGCAGGCGGTGTCGTCTGTATCTGTTATTCTATGTTGTCGTGTCAGTCGGACTTTGCCTGTCTTCAGCAACAAAACACAACCACGGAGCCATATGATGGAGGTCATGAAGATGTTGATGATGACAATGAAACGACACAAATTGAATATTGGAGTTCTGGCGATGATCATTGCCCAATCTTCAATCGCAAGCAATGTCCCCCCTTCCCTTTTGATGTTCATGCTCTTGAAACCGTTTATCGCAAGCAGTAGCCCCTTCTCTGCTCTTGTAGTCTATGCTTCAGTGTCAGTCGGACTTTGCCTTTCTTCAGCAACAACACAACATCATCAACAACAAGCATCACAGAGTCATATGATGAAGTCAAGAAGATGTTGACGATGAAGATGACACGAGAAAGCTTGAAGATGGAGAGCTTGGCTGTTCTTTGAAGTGGGGATGGGGAGGTAGAACATAATGACTGAATGAAGGGGGAAGGAGCATGACGCCGAAGAAGATGCCGTGGTAAACTCCAAGCAGTGTCCCTCTGTCTTTCATTCACCACAGCAGCAGCAACAACAACAACAACTGCAATCCATACGAACAGTAGTTAGTATTAATTGCCCTCACATCATTGACATTAACAGTAATTAAACCAGTATCAGTAACAAGTCACAAGCAAATCAAGCACAAGGAAGCAATATGGACAATGGTCATTGTGAACAAAAGGTATGAAAAAAGAAGCTTCCTCTTGTGTTGCTGGAAGACGACATGGCTTTACAAAAAGCCTTGCGTGTTTGGTTGTAGGCGGGGGACAATGATTTACACAATACCTTGCATTTTTTATCTGACAAGGGTGGGGGTGAGGAGAATTTTGGCACCAAATCATCAAAACAAGTAAACAATCAAAATAATCCGGATTTTATATTTTAGCTATTTTAATTATATAAACCGCTGGGATTCCGATTTTGTACACTAAAATACTACTATTTTAATTATTCAAAAATTTTGGGCTCCTAGATAATTAAAGTAAATAGAAACCCTGGCGTCGTATAGAGAGTTCCCCTTGTTTAAATATTGAAAAGAATTAAAATAATGAAAATACTCCTGATTCTAATTGTTTGGATTATATTGAAAATTTTGGCCACGAAATACTTAGGATACTCAAAATAATTAAGATCCCTGGCTTCGTCCAGAGATTTCCCCTTATTCAACTAAGTAACATCAGAATAATCCGGATTTTACTTATTTTACTTAATCTAAACAAGCTTTGGTCCCCAAAAAAACCTTCATAATTAAAATAGTAATAGTCCGAGTTTTAATCATTATCACCGCTGGGTTTCTGATTTTGTAAAATAAAATGAGACTATTTTCATGACTTATAAATGTGGACTCCTAAATTAAGATAAGCAAAATACTCAAACAGGCTGGCTTCGTCGGGGGGTATATTGAAATAATTCAAACAATCAAAATAGTCCGGATTTCATGCATTTTCAGTATTTTAAAGAATTTGGCCCCAAAACAATTAAAATAATCAAAATAACTCGTGTTTTAATCTTTTTTACGTATTTTGACTACATCGCTGGGTTTCTGATTGACAATGATTCAAAGAATGAAAATCATTAAATTCCCTGGATTTGTATTCAAATTATTTCAAAAAATCTTAACTGTCTAAATATGACCACCTATATTAACGAAATCAAGGCGTTAAATGGTCCCTCCAGGGTCCTCTCTCATACATATATATATATATACATACATACATACATACATACATACATACACACATACATACATACATACCTATAGGTTCTGGATGGCATGAAGCTCAAGGCTTGCACTTGCAAAGTATTCGCAACATGCTCGTCCGTAAAGCAAGACAGCTGAAATGCCCTGGTGCAGCAGCCTCGAGTCCTGAGTTGGAAATGGCCTGAGGACGTTCCGACATGCAGACCGTGGTGTCGCCACGGTTCCAGGGGCCGCGACGCTCCAACTTGTGTAGGCGCTGGACGATGCTCATCACCCGCTCCTTGCCTTCAGCTTCAAAAGTCAGCACCCCACCTAAAAGAAAAAATGCACTGGAAGTGTCGGCGCATCTGAGCAGTTGGCATGCAACTGCCCCGCTTGCCTGCAAGAACGCGGTGCTGGAGCGTTCACGAATCTTGACTAGTAAAGCATTCCAAGGCGACACACTAAGACGTGACAAATGGCGAAGCTGCTCGAATGCCAGCGGTTCGGCTCGCTTCGCTGTGCTGGATCTGAAGTTGCGGGCCTCCTCTTTGACTCGCTCGGAGAGCATGTCACCAACCTGTCTCTGCATGATAAGCAGCTTAGCAAGTTTGACCTGCTACAGTCCTTGGCTAACGTTTAACCCTGGCATCAGAAAAGAATCATTGCTTGGTCACTGATGGATAGTGGGAGAAGATGGCTTCATCCCAGAGGTCCTTCGGGCAGAACTGCACAACGAGTCCTAGACGTAGAGGCCTGCAGCGACCTCGTCTGGTGACGTGCACTTCGTCTCGCCGAGTGGCAACCTGACCGGCTTTAAGCGCACCGCTTGCAGCTCGGCCTGGCCTGAACGACTGAGTGCCGAGCCCACGCACTTCTTGCGCTGAAATCGGCGAGAGCCGGACCTGCAAGCCAGACATATCGAGCAAGCTCCGAATGTGCTTGTACAGAACTTGCCTTGGACGGCGGTCCCAGCTGCAGCAGCTGCTGCCTGCGGACCAAGCGCAGTCCGTGTGGCATGGCAGGGGCTTTTTTCCTTCGTGCCTGGCCTGGCCAGCTCCAAGTGCCTCAACAATTGGGCATCTCAAGTCCATCAGTCACTGTCCATCACAGCGCATTTCACGGAGAGTTGTTGCCTGTGCTGCAGAAGCTCTCTCCAGGCCCTGGCCGTTGGCAGATCCGATCTCTTGAGCCGCTCAACCGGTAGCTGCAGTGGCCACCCACCCGCCTTTGGATCCTCCGAGTGCTTCGGCAAAGCGAATCCTCTCAACAAATGCCCCCGAACCCTTCTGCACCTCTCGCACCCTTCAGGCCTCATTCACCCCAGGTCGGAATCGTTGCCTCACGAATACATGAGCCGGGGCACAACACCATTGCGAAGCCATTCCGAAAATGTTCCAGCATAGGCTCTCTGTTTGCCACCGACCCTCCGGTACAACCCAAGCACACCCGCTCCTGCGACACTTCTCATCCGGCCCAATTCGTGCTTCTGCCGTATGTGCTTGCTGTCGCTTCTTTTGTGTACGGTGTTGGCAGATGCGCTGGTCATGCAGGCTCATCGGCATTGTGAATACTAACCGTGTTGACTCTGCGCGTTAAGATCTTTAGCGAAGTGAGTGGGTGAGCATTCGTGATAGCAACGGCCCGACCTGTAGCTGTATCCATGCTATATAGTTTTCTCCGAGCTAGCACGTGTTCCATCCCGGCGTTGCTAAGATCACTCGATAATTTCATGGCTACAAGAATTATAAGAACTGCAAAACTTGCATGGTTGCCAGAATCTGCCGCATCGTTCTGCAATCACATTAGCTTCGTGCTGTCCATCGCAACAGACAGAAACACACCACCATACCACCGGGAGCAGCGGCGTCATTCGGGCACAAGAACAGCCACGACAACGACCACGACGGCAGCAGCAATGGCAACAACCCACACGAACAATAAGAAAGTTGAGACCCTTCAGCTGCACCACGTGGCCCGGGTGTGTGGAAGGTCAAGTCCTGCAGAGTCCAGCTTGGGACTCTGTGCGGCTGGGCCCCGGACCACCGCCAGCGCTGCGCAGCAAAGAGTTTCGCCTTGATTGCCCAAGCAGGCTTTTAACCCTCAAAACTGCAAGTCTGACCGCGCCAGTCGGCTCCTCGTGGCCAAGTCATGGCAAACAAATCTATCCATGGTCTTGAGCAAGGCTCGGCTGGGATGTTGCTGCAGCTCTCGATGCTTGAAATTCTTTCTTCGTTGTTGTTGCGTGTGAAGTTCTCGCACTGGAGCCCTGGCCTTTTCCAGGGTTGCGGGCCAGCCGCGACTCCCCTGCAGCTTGCCTGGGACACAGAGCGCCAGGCAAAGTCTGCGCCGCAGCTTAAGACTGGTTTTGTGGTCCTTGGAGGGAGCCAAAATTGGCTCAGCTTCTGATGGCTGAGCCTGTCTATGAGTTCAGTTTCTGGGCGATCTGAATGTTCCGGCTCACGGGTGCAGGAGGGCCCAGGGTTCATCGAGCGCCCTGAGTGCGATTGTCAGTTTCTTCGCTCCCAAGATCCAGCAATCCAGGGCGTCCTATGTTGCTTAGGGTTGTGGGGCTACAATTTCGCCATGACTGTCTTCACCTCACCCATTGCTCGAACTGTAGCCTGCATACATGTTCCCGAACCCAGATCGCGACACTCCCACCATCGCTTTCTGACACGATGCCGTGCTTCTGCCCGCATACTGGTATCCATCCGATTGGCCTGTACCAGCATCTTCTTTGTTGATGGAGGTGCCTTCGACACAAGCTGCAGCGAACCCACACAACTTCCGCAACCAAAAACTGCACCTTTCAACAAGGGGCGCAGGTTCCGCCGCTGTGGCTTTTGAGGCGACCTCAGGCTTGGAAACACAGTCAGAACACACGCTTTTGGCCCCGAAGCGTAGCTAGGACTCCAACGGCTTGGATCCTGCATGTTGGAAATGAGACCTTGCCAAGACAGCGTGCATGAACATAGCCTTGACATCCCTGTCTGAGCTCAAGGCACTTCTGCCTGCAATTTTTGCAATTCACCCTCCCAGCCTGTTGCGCCCAGACAAAAGGGTGCCCAGGCGAATGTGACGGCATGGAAACCCTAGATCCTGCATGTCCACCCACGTCAAGTCTATGGCTTACTGGGAGGCAACACTTACTTAGCAGGAACCACCGCGGACAAAAAGAACTGCCTGCCTCTTTTCTGGAGCTTCTGCATATACTTAATGCGTCAGTTGCTTGCACGAGTTGCTGGCCTGACTGGACATAAGCCCCACACGCCTGCTAGCATCATGGGGCTGCGCTGTCGGCGCCATCTGTTGCTTATCACATCTTATCACACTACTCTTACTTGAGGTGTTGCGATGCGATGCGTTGGGCATGCTCTTTGATGCAACTAGCTTTTCCATTTCCTTTGCTTCACTTTCAACGATAGCAATGCCCAAGACATGCCGCCTTACCCACACCTGGTGCGTTGGGTTGTTCAACTTGCTCTGGGCGTTGGGATGACCCCGGGAACAAATTGGCGAAGGCGCGGCGACAGTGAATAGATCATCGAAAATGCTCCTGGCATCCCCTGGCCAGATGCTAAACGAGGCGAAGCACTGCCGCGAGCTCTGCATGTGAATACCTGGTACGGATCAGTTACGAATCTGACATTGCTTGAGCAGGCATTGCGAACCATTGAAGATTGGTAAGTCGCGTGCTCCAATGAAATAGCCTGGCCACACTGCAAGTGTGCATGCACGAACACGTTGCGATCTGGACGCCCTTTCCACGGTGCGCAAATCTGTCAAGCATGCTGGGAAGTATGGCTGGGCCAGTGGCAATTTTTCGCACGGCAGGCTACAGGAAGCTCTTGGAAGACAGACCCGTCGTGTTTCCTCACCGAAATACCTCTTGATCCGTCCACACTCACATTAAAACAACCGAAACAAGCCGTCACAAACCGTGCACTGGGTTCCGACCCAACAAACGCGATCTGATGTTCTGGCCGAACGTCCGACTCTCCGACATAATGTGCCAGGCCCACGCGCAACTGCGCGCTCAACCGTGAAGCGCCACGCCACTTCAAAGGACCTGCCTGAATGCAACAAATAGCTCACACGAAGAGCTTGCCAGGGCGATGTGCTGCTTTAGCATGAGGGATCATGAGCGCAGGGCTGCTGAATCACCTCCACCGATGCCTCCGGGGTAGCACACCGCCTGACGGACTCAATGTGAAACGAATCAGCCTTCCCAAACCGGCGTAACATAGCCACAAGCCAATGACACGCGAAGGGGTCCGAGCGCAAGGCCACAGGCCCTGGTCCACCTGACCGCATGATAGCCAGCGCTGTGCATGCACCTTGCTGACCTCACTGTGCAAAGTTCACGGCCGGCCTGACATTGATCCGAGTGTGGGCGGAATCCATCGCAGCTGCGCACGCTGGAGCCGCGAAGACTTCAATCGCACCATTCTCAACACCTTCTTTCTTCCACAGCTTTTTTGCGAAGGTTTCCCTGGAAGCGGGTGTTGCTCTATGCATACAAAGGCAGCAGGCCAGGAAGCGCATCCTTCCTCTTGCAAAAGGTCGCGCCGCCGCAGCGACGGTCAAGAAGTCCGTGCCGGACACGGAGTTACGCACTGCGCCCACGCACGGCATCGGAGCGTACAAGGAAAGCGCAGCACGTGCACAAGCGGCGATCGTGCCTGCGAGGGCTTGAAGTGCGAACTGGTACCACGATCGCATAACATAAAGGGTGAAGTTCGCGGCAGGCCAATCGCACCCGGCGCGGTCGTATGCATATAGGCCACTGCTGCGGACGGCTTGATGCCGCAATGGGTGCATCGCCTTGTTCTCACCCTGCGGCGCGTCCCGGCAGCCCATGAGTATCCCACCAGCAGCAGCAGCTCGACGGTTGGAGGTAAAACAGCCTAACGAACGGGTAAGCGCGTGAAAACAGGCGGATGGGCTGGTTGGTTGGGACGAGAGCAAGTGTTGCGGTGCAAGTCCCCAAGTGGCTTCCGTGCCTTGTGTCAGCTCCGCCATGGTGAGGACGTGCCTGGCGCGGGAAAGCTCGCCCTAGCAGACTTGAGCGCAAGCCCGCGTTTGCGCTCCGCCAGAACCTCCAAGTCGAGTCCGCCGAACCCAAGAAACCTGCGAGGCCTGTACTGCAGCAGCTGGCAGTTGATCGCCGCTGGGCACAAGGCAGCCGAAGCAGGTCGCAACAGCGGCATGCAGTCGCAGCGAAATATAGGCTGTGAGTGCTGGCAGCACAGTCTAGGCGACCGGCTGCGCTAGCTGATTTCAAGAGCATTTTCAGTCGCTGTAACTCCAACAAGTAGCAGCGAGCGCAAGCTGCGCCGCAACGGAGATCAGGCCACTCCAGCGGGGAACCCACTCGGCCTGGGATGGGCAGAACTGCGGACAGCGGCAAGGGCACTCGCAGCACATGCCCGGGCAAGGAGGCGAACAACTCCTACCTCGAGCCCGAAACAACGAGGCGACAGCGTCGGTCTGGTCGAGTTCGGGGTACGTCTGCCGGCGTTTGGACCTTGCTGCGTTGCGCACGGCCCAACCCGGGTGGTTGTCTGCTCCATCTTGCGAGCGTCGGGCCACCGGGCTGACGAGGTTGGCGTCAACGGCAAGCTGGCGGCAGGCCGTTGCAAACGACCTCGATGCGCCGCACATTACCGTTGATTTGCGCCGTCCGCGGCGTGAGACACACGGGGCACGTGGGGGTCGGATTCGGGATGCGGATGCTCTCCAACGGGAGCTTGGTTTGGCACCGCACGCATATCCATTGCGGGGAAGGCGGTGGCAGGGCGCGGCTCTACATGGCGTCCCTCCTGGGTTCGAGAGGGCAGCTTGCAGTTAGCAAAGGCAGCAAAATCCCGCACAACTGAGTCAGCAGCGGGTCAGGCCGGTGTACGCATAGGCGTGGCCAGCGATTGGGCCGAGCACGGCAACTGCTGAGGCACGGCAGTATGCACAGTGAACTCGAAAACTGGAAACAGAAGCACCCGCACTGCGCATCAAAGGCCCCCAGCGCTGCACGACCTCCTTGCATATGCTCGCACTCACGAGGCTCCTCAACGCAGCCGCTTCCCTGCCCGTGCATAAAGCGCCAAAGGCCGCAGCTATCCGCAGCTCCGGGACTCGGACCCTTTTTAATTTTTTAACGTTGCAGCTGAAGCAATGTGCGAGGAAAAGAAAGAACGGTGGGTCTGCAGCCGCTGCCTCTTTGCGCATGCAGCAGGGCCATTCGCTTCCAAACGCCGTGCACCCGACTTGTCCAGCCGACCTCATGCCAGTCCCCCAGCACCAGGAGATGGGCAGAGCGCTGCGCATGCACCAGTCCTGCGCTGTCCCAACGCACAGGTGGCCTGCCGCGGCCGACCAGATGATGGTGACGGAGAGCGTGGCAACGACTTCGTAAGGTCCGCGGCAGCGCGCGTCGTCGAGGGAGACGTGGACGGCGAGGAGACAACATTTCTGTCGTCGCAGTTCCCGAAAGCATCCGGGAGCTGCAGGACACTTGCCGGCAGACACTTCGCAAGCACACGTGCATCGAGCTCAGCCGTGGCAAAACCTGTATCTGAAACGCAGCTGGAGAGGAGCCTGCTCACATCTCCGACCTGCGCGGCCACGGCGGCGAACGGGGATTGGTCTTCTCGTTCTCGGCACGCCGCTCGGTGCTGACGAGTACGTCCACGGCATTCTCGCCGCGAAGCGAGCAGGGCACGACCGCCTCCTCACCCGCATCCCCGAGGACCCAGATCTGCAAGCTGTGTGGCTACTGCTGCATTAGTGTCCACGGCGCGCTCGGGGGGGGGAGGGGGGGGGCACAAAACGCTGCGGTCCCACGCGCTCGGGGGTGGTACAGGGCCACCGCTGCGGTTTGGTGGTTCAGGGCCACTAAATGCTGCGCCTGCCACGCAGCACAGGTGGGATAGGAGTGAGTGAGTGAGTGCGTGCGTGAAGTGAGTGAATGCGTGAGTGAATGACGTGAGTGGGTGAGTGAGTGAAGTTAGCGAGCGACCGAGCGAACGAGCGAGTGAGTGAGTTTTTTTAGTGAGTGCGTGACATGAGCAAGAGAGTGAGTGTGGAAGTGGAAAGAAGGAGGCGGAAGGAAGGAGGAAGGAGGAGGAAGGAGGGAGGAGGACGGAAGGAGGAAGGCGGACGCCAACCAGTAAAAATAAGATCCCCGCACAAACATGGGGAAATGGCCTTGCGCGTACCCTCGCGATTCGGACTGGTGAAACATGCAAAGCGCATAGTTCGCCCGGAGAGCCGCGCACATGGAGAGCACGAGTAAGAAGTGTAGAGTAGTTTTTGTCATGTCCCCACACCTTTTTACGACTGCGAACGTCAGGGTCCCTGTGCAACTCGCAAGCAGCCTACGTCGTGCGGGCTGGGAAGCGGCTGCTGGCGGGTGCCTGCAACCACCTTGCGTCAGCCAGCAGCTCGTGCAAAGCGCGCGGGTCACCAGCAGCACCGAGCCCAGCGGCGGGAGGAAGCTCAAGGAGCGAAGTGGCGAAGGCTCGCTGCGCGGCCTGAGCAGCGCGGCGCATGCCGGGCAGGGGCGCTGGCCGCGCGGGCTCACGCGATAAGTCGAAGGAATGTCGCGGCTTCCTCACTCCAACGCCCACCTGTTTCAATGCCGAAAACGAGAAGGCACGCAGCAAACATCAGTAACCGTAGTCGGTTTTGTCACCCACCTGGCACGACGTTGAGGAGGAGGAGGAGGAGGAGGAGCAGGAGGAGGAGGAGGAGGAGGAGCAGCAGCAGCAGCAGCAGCGGCAGCAGCAGTAGTAGGCCCCCCCCCCCCGCCAATTACCTCTGGC